GAACATGAAGAACGGGATTTATTAGTTGAAAAATTGGTTAGAACTTCATTTCCAAATTGAATTAAACAATTGACTACAATTTATAATAAAGTTTTTGAAAAAATAAAAAGTTAAATAAATCAAAATACAATAATAAAATTGTACGTCCAAATGGTACTAAATCTCATGAGTTTTGCAAGGACCTTGAAATTATTTTTATACGGAATAGGACCAATAATATTCTTAACGTATTTAGTATGGTTCGCAAATGTCCTCTGCTAGCTTTTTAAGCTTAAAATATACTCTATATATGTTTTTTAGCTCAAACATGTCTATAAAACTAATAGATCAGATGATATATGATAAATTTTAGTAATTTAAAATAACTAAGAATTATTTTTTAAGCTTGTGTAACATCCCAATATTTTTTTTACAAGTTTACTTTAGAGTTACTTTGTTAATTATTGTTTACTAATTTTAACAGATTTCATATTGAAGGGGGTACTTTTGAAATATATTTTATATGATATGTATACAAATTAGATATAGAAATTCATACGTAAATGATTGCAAAAGTTTTCAGAAGAAGCACAAGATACTAATCAAAGATGAAAAATATTTTGGTTCTAGTAAAAAGTATGTAAGAGTCAGTTTGATAGGTGACGAGGAAGATTATAACAAGTTTATTCAAAGATTGTTCCTAAGTCTTCGTGAACAAACCTAGTTAATTGTATAAAGCAGGTGCCAAAATGTTTAGAAATATTTTGACTAATCTCTATAATAAATACTTTTATCTAAATGAATGAAATCTTTATAAAACTATTGTTTCCTCTTTGCGTACACACTCTTTGCACAAATATTGCACAATCATTGCACCGTTAAACAAAATGAGTATTTTTACTTCATTATACATGTATACATTATGAACATTTGAAAAAAAAAACATGAAAATCAACATTTTTTGCATGAAAAATAGGTTAGAACTTCAATTCCAAATTGAATTAAACAATTGACTACAATGTATAATCAATTTTTTTTTAAAAGTAAAATAAATAAAAGGTTAAAAAAATCAAAATTTGTATGTTCAAATCATACTAAGTCTCATGAACTTTGTTAGGACATTGAAATCATATTTATACCGAGTAGGACCAATAATATCCTTAACGTATTTAAAATGGCCCGCAAATGTTCTCCACTAGTTTTTAAGATAAAAATACACTTCATGCATTTCTTTTAACCCAACCATATCTCTAAAACTAATAGATCAGATGATATGATAAAATTTGGGAGTTTAAAATAACTATATTTTTTAATGTGACATCTCGATATTAAACTTTAGAGTTACTTTCTTAATTATAGTTTACTAATGTTAACAAATTTATATAAATGTATGTATACTAGATATAGAAATTTGTGCTAGCAGTAAATAATTGTGAAAGTTTTCTAAAGAAGCATAAGATATCGACCAGAGGTGGGGAATATTTTGATTCTAGTAAAAAGTATGCAATGGCTAGTTTGATAGGTCACGAGAAAGACTATAACAAATTTATTCGAAGATTGTCCTTATAAGCTCTTTGGAGTCTTTGTAATAGTAAACAAAGCTAGTTAGTTGTATAAAGCAGAAGCTAAAATGTTAAAAGAAATATTTTGATTGCTCTCTATAATTAAAAAAAATCATCTAAATGAAGATAATCTCTATAAAAATATATCGAAGATTTACCCCCATTCTTCCTTTTTGCCTACACATTCTTTGCACAACCATTGCACAGTTTTTTTAAAAAAAAGTATTTTTAACTTCATTGTACATGTATACATTATGAGCATTTTAATCAAGTTTTTGAACGAAGATTTTTTACTTGAAAAATTGATTGGAACTTCAATTCCAAATTGAATGAAACAATTGATTATAATGCATAATCAAGTTTTTCTAAAAAATAAAAGGTTAAAAAAAATCAAAACACAGTAGTTAAATTGTATGTCCAAATGATACAAAGTCACATGAATTTTTGCAAGGAAAATGAAATTATTTTATACGGAATAGGACCAATAATGTCCTTAACGTATTTAATATGGCTCGCAAACGTCCTCTGCTAGTATTTTAAGATAAAAGTACACACGGTATATTTTTTTTAGCTCAAACATATATATCTCTAAAATGAATAGATTATATGATATGATACGGTAAAATTTGAGAGTTTAATATAACTATTATTTTAAAGTTTGTATAACATCCCAATATTATTTTTCCATGAGTTAACTTTAGAGTTACTTTGTTAATTATAGTTTACTAATTTTAACAGATTTCATATTGAAGCGGTACTTTTGAAATATATTTATACACTAATGTATGTAAACTAGATACAGAAATTTATACTAGTGATAAATAATTGTGAAAGTTTTCTGATGAAGCAAAGATATTGGCAAGAGATGGAGAACATTTTGGTTCTAGTAAAAAGTAAGGGTCAGTTTGATAGGTCACGAAGAAGACTATAACGAGTTTATTCGAAGATTGTCCTTGATAAACTCCGTGGAGTCTTCGTGAATACACCTAGATAGTTAGGTGCCAAAATGTTAAGAAATATTTTTCCTCTTTGCACAAATATGGCACAATCATTGCACATTTTAAAAAATAAGTATTTTTACTTCATTATACATGTATATATTATGATCAATTTGATCAAATTTTTGAAAGAAAAAGAACATGAAGATCGGAATTCTTACTTGAAAAAATGGTTAGAACTTCAATTCCAAATTGAATTGAACATTAGACTACTATGTATAATCAAGTTTTAAAAAAAATAAAAGGTTAAAATAATCAACACAATAATTGAATTGTATGTCCAAATGGTACCATATCTCATGAATTTTGCAAGGACATTGAAATTATTTTTATAGGAAATAAAATTAATAATATCCTTAACGTATTTAATATGACTCACAAATGTCCTTCACTAGTTTTTTAAGCTAAAAATACACTCTATATTTTATTTTATTTTTATCTTAAACTATCTCTAAAATTAATAGACCATATGATATGATAAAATTTGAGAGTTTAGTATAATACCCATTAATCACCCTTTTTTATCTTGTCATCATAGTTTATGCATGGGTGAAGAGGCGGGGTACATTTTGGTTCTAGTAAAAAGTATGTAAGGGCTAGTTTGATAGGTCATGAGGAAGACTATAACAAGTTTATTCGAAAATTATCCTTGATAAACATTACGAAATTTTAATGAAAAAAAATAGGTGTCTTGAAATGTAAAAATATATCGAAGATTGGCCCCCATTGCTTCCTCTTTGCATACACACTCTTTGTTCAAATTAGGCACAATGGTTGCACAATTAAAACAAAATGAATATTTTAACTTAATTCTAAGTGTATACATTATGAGCATTTTGATCAAGTTTTTGAAACAAAAAGAATATGAAGATCGAATTTTTTTTACCTGAAAATTTGATTAGAACTTCAATTCGAAGTGGTATTAAACAATTGACTACAATTAAAATACAATAATTAAATTGTATGTCCAACTGGTACTAAATCTCATGAATTTTGCAAGGACATTGAGATTATTTTTATACGGAATAGGATCAATAATATCCCTAACGTATTTAATATGGCTCGCAAATATACTTCGCTAGTTTTTAAAGCTAAAAATGCACTTTACATTTTCTTTACTCAAATATATTTTCTTTATATTTGCGCGCACATTTTTTGCACAGATATGGCACAACCATTGCACAGTTGAAAAAAAAGTGTTTTTACTTCATTATAGATGTATACATTATGAGCATTTTGATCAAGTTTTTTAAAGAAATAGAATATGAAGATCGGAATTTTTACTTTAAAAATTTGTTCGTAGTAACATATTTTTATTTAAAAAATATTATACAAATAAATGTTTTTAGAGAAAATTGTATGAAATAACAAACTATTAATTCAAATTAAATGCTATAATCATAATTTATTTTAATTGTAATTCGGAGCAAACATCCTTTTTTTGGCCATCTAATTCGGTATACAATTAGTCATTTTATACATTTCGGTATAAAATGCGTTTGTATTTGTATAAAGCGAGAGAAAAGTGTATACACAAATACAAATATATATATTTTCGTCCTATACACTTATAATTATACAAATTACAATGTATAAATGAATTTATTCAAAACTGAATAATTTATATAAAATTGGATGTTTGTAGCGAATTATACAAACCAAAAGTTCCATAGCAAACATAAAATTTGTTATGAAGTGCAATTATGCAAACTATAGCTATAACATACAAATATGATTTTTATGTTTGTTATATGTGAAAGTTGTAAGATGAAAAATTAGTTAATACATTAGTGGGCCTAATTTATATTGTGAACGTTAGTTGGTATTTGGCCCACGTGTTCTTTCTTGCTAGCCCACGTAAAAGGACCTAGGGCTTTTACTAGATTCCCCTTTCTGTTTCTCAATTAACCCATAACTTTCAGCCCACTGCCTAAAACTGACCCGACCCCTGTACGTCTTCCTCACAGTAGCGAGACCCAGAAACACTACCCCCGCGTCCTTCTTCTCCAACAGCAATAGTGTACGCGTTTCTTCCCCAGACGCATCAGTCCGGCAAAAGCCGCGACTCTGACCCGTCAACATCAGCCACAGAGCAAACGGCGAAGGTACGCGTACTATACACGTCGTCTTCCTCGCCTCAACAGTACAACAGTACGCCCTCACGTCCCCTTTACCCTCTTTTTTCAGAATTTCCCATCCCCTTCACTGTTGCTTCGAAAATTGCAGAAGAATTCAAAAAAAAATTAACAAACGGATTCCAACCCCCCCCCCCCCCCCACCCCCAGACTCCCCCTAAAAAGCCCCCC